ACCCGGGGGTAAGGGAGGGGGAAGCGTGTTGGCCCTCCCCAGTCGCATCTCCACAGCAAGCTCCACTCAGGTCCGTGCCCCAGGCCCCCAGCCCTGACTCTGCACTCCTTCCTCTCCCCAACCCCACCTCCGCAGGTCCAAGTCCTAGCTCCCACCCTCACCCTCCTTGTAGCCTCAGCAACCTCTCGATGTGCCTATGGGCTCTGCCTGCCTTGTACCTAGTAATAAATGCTCAAAAACATGGAATCACCACCGTCACCATCATGTTAGCTGTCCCTGAGTTCATGGGACCGTGGGCAAGATTTAACCTCTGTGACCCCCTGGTTGCTGCCTGTCAAATAGGGAAGAGACAGTCCCCTCCCTGGGCAGTCCTAAGAAGGCAAATTCTTGTTCCTTGTGTGGTGCTTAGTAGATGCTGAAAAACTGAAACTCTTATCCCCATCCAGCTCCGCTTGAATCCCCACAGAGAGACCCCAATGCCCTCCCCACCCCTCGACAGACTCAGCAGCCTGCAGACCCTGGCCATCCAGGGCCCTCAGGGGCCTGCCTGGCTGGGGGTGACTCTGAGTGGCAGCCTTGTCCCTTCACACTTGGGGAGATGAGCCGGCTGCCTCCCTGCTGTCCTGGGTGCTCCCTCAGGGGTCACAGCAGGTGATCCAGGTGGTGATGGAGGGCTGGCCCGGGACTCGCTGGAAGCCACTAGACAGTAGGAGGCAGCACAGCCCTTGCTGCGTTTGGATGGGCCAAGGGCGAGGGCCATGGCACAGAACAATCCCAGGGGGCACCCATCTCTGCCCTATGCACAGCCTGGGGTCCCTGTGGTGGCCCTGGATGTGGGGGCACCACTGTGGATGGTGGAGTACCTGCTTTCCCAGAAGGCCAGCCTTGCTCCTTACCTGCCCCAGCCTGCCCACTCCCCACAAGCCAAGGAGGAAACCTCCTGTACCTGAGACACTGGGGGTTCATACAGCCCTGTGGACGGCACAACCTGTTAGGGAATCTGGCTCCAGGCAGGGTGGAGGGGCAGTCTGGAGCTGGGCAGAGGCCAGTGGGTATGGCAGTGTCCCCTCCAGACCAGTCCTGCCTGCAGGGGACTGGGAGGTCCGGGGCAGAGTCGCCTGGGGCCAAATACAAGGCTGGGCGGGAGTGAATGTGTGGCTCTTCATCATAGAGTCCTCCTTGTTTATATATATTTTAAAACTGTGGTAAAGTACACATAACATTAGAGTACCATCTCAACCATTTTTAAGTGCACAGCTCAGTGGCATTGAGGACATTCACGTTGTTGTGCAGTTGTCCCCATGTCTCCAGAATGTTCTCACCTTCCCAAATCGAAGCTCCATCCTCATCAAACACTCCCCACCCCTTCCCCCTCCCCCGGCCCCCACACTCCTACTTTGTGTCTCTGTGTCTTTGACTCCTCCAGGGACCTCGAGAAGTGGAATCACATAGGATGTGTCCTTCTGTGTCTGGTTTATTTCACTCAGCTTCATGTCCTAACGTCCATCCACATTGGAACAGGTGTCAGGACCTCCTCCCTGATTAAGGCTGGATCATATTCTGCCATATAGATGAACCACATTTAGCTTATCCATTCATCCAGGTTGTTTCTACCTCTTGATAATTGTGAATATGCTGCTGTGAACGTGTGTGTTCAAGGGTTTCTTCGAGACCTCGCTTTCAATTATTTTGGGTACAGAGCACGAGTGGAATTGCCAGGTCACGTGGTGATTCTGTTTAACTTTGGAGGAACTGCCACACTGTTTTCCACACCGCTTGCACCATTTGCCTTCCCACCGAGAAGACCTCCCTGAACACAGGGAGCAAATGCCCCTGGAGCAAGCCCCACCCCCCATGGTGCTATTGGCTTTGCAGTCAGCCTGGGAGGGGTGGACTTGGGGTGTGGGTTGTGGCCCTAGATTACTGAATACTAACATAATCACCCGCAGCTAGTGTGTTTGGCCTGAACCCCCACATCCACAGCAAGGTGTCTCAATGGTTGTTCCCAGATACCCCACCCCAGACTTAGTGAGCTCTCCAGGGCGGGGGCAAGACAAGCTCCCCTCTCTCTTCCCCAGATGCTGGGGGCTGCCAAGGCAGAAGATCTGACCCCCTCCACACCGTGGGCTGCCTCTGCGCTGACTGCCAGCCAGGAGCAGCCCTGGGTTCTCCCCCTGCCCCCAAACCCTCCCTCCTCGGCAGCCCCCCCAGTCTGCTGGGCCACTCACCTCGGACGTGTGAGCCGGGAGCCCAGCGACTTTCCCACACTTTGGCCCCATTCACAGTGTTAAGCGGCCCACAAAGGCCAGGCGTGTGCCTCGGAGGCCGCGCTGCCATCTGGCCCACACGCGGGGAGGGAGCCAGCGAGCCTTTCATCCGGCCGGGCTGAGATTTAACACCATTCATTTCATATTTCCCACAACTCAAAATTGGATCAAAGCTGCTCCTGTCAGGGGGAAGGGGTGGAGGGAGGGAGGAGGCAGCTCCCCCATGGACCACCCGCCACCCTCACCTCCACCCTGGCCCACTGCAGGTGGGCATGCAGTTGGGGTGGTGGGGGCCGGACCACTTCTGCTGGCACGTGTCTCCTCTGGGCTGAAAGTTGGCTTGGGGGAGGCAGCCAGGGCAGGGCACACGCCCCCAGCCAACTGCCCCTCTGAAGCCAGGGGGCAGGGGACAGGTCCCAGCTTCGGTGCTGCTCTCAGTTCTGGGCAGGACTCTGGGGCGCCACTGCCAGCAGCTGGGCAGTCAGGCATACGTGGCCTCAGGTGGGGGCTACAGTCAGGGCCCACCCCTTACTCCTGCGTTCCCTTTTCCTGGCCAAGCTCCTCCTTGGCACCGGGTGCTGGGCTGGCAGGGTGTGGGAATGGGGACACAGGAGACTCAGCCACTCTGCTCTCCACCCACAGCCTGGCCCCTAAGGAGTCCATAAGCAGGCCAGCCGCCCAGCATAAGCCCTACTTTGGCTGAGTGTCACCAGGTCCCCCTTGCAGCCTGTGGGAGCTGCCAAATAGGCTGTGGAGCAAAGTACAGAGCACGTGTCCTCCACACACCCACCTCCATTTTGCCCAGGTACCCTCTGCCCTTTGGCATCAACCAGAAATGGCCAGATATCTGTGGCAGGGATCCCCCTGCTCAAAGAGGAGCCCAGGCCCAAGGCGGGAACCTCAGGGTCACCTGCCTCCCACAGCCAACCTGGGCCTGTGTCCCCTTCAGGAGAGGTGCTTCAGAGGAGAAGCAAGTGCCACGGGTGAAGTTGGGCTGCCTTCTATCTCGATCCAAAGTCACCTGATATTTCCACCCCCAGAGCCCCTCACCTAATCCATCCCAGGGGTGACCAGGGGCTCTCAGGGCTGTCTTGGGCTGACTCCGAGCCAAGCCTGCCCATTATCTTCCTGCTTCCTGGATGGGCCCCTCTCTGGGTCACCAAAGGCTTCCTGTGCTGTGGACTTCTTGAGCAGGTCCATCAAGCAGGCCACTCAAAGCTGCGAGTCCCTGCCAAGATCTTTGTTAGGGCCCTGTGATTCCCAGCCGCGCTCGGACATGGCTGCTGTCCAGGGAACTGTGCTTCTGGATTTGAACTCCAGCTAATGTGCCCTGATGCCAACTGCTGGCTCCCAAGACTGAAGCCCTGCTCCCCCTTAGACCTTCCTGATCCTTCCCTGACCCTAGAAGGCAGCCCCAGCCCCACCCCCTCGCTCAGTCCTTACAGAACGGGATTCCTGGCTGCAGAGAATCAGAGGACAGTGACTGTTCTGGGTGGAGGGGGGCTCCAAGCAGCCACTCCCCTAGGGACCCAGGGTGGGGCTGGCCCCCAAGTCATCACTGGCCCTCAGCTGGACTGACCAGGGACCAGGATCAGCCATTCCACTAGTGGGTCTGAGCTGGTACAGCATTCATGTGGGCTCCAGGCAGGGGCCTCATGTCTGCCTCCTGGCACCCCTTCCCCACCACTGGCAAAATGCTTAAGGACAGCAGACCTTACAGGTGCCCCCAGGGCTGGAATAGGACAGCATGTGGCTGAGGCTTTCCCCCCTGTCCCATGGGAGCAGTGACCACACACCTGCAAGGAGCATGCCTGGAGCCATTGTGACAGCCAGGGTCAGACTCCCATCCAGATGGGGGTGGAGTGGGGCCATGGCGGCCACCTGTTGGGTCAGAGCACCCCAGATGCTACAGCCTGATAAGCCTTAGCTCCCCAGAGGAGGGGGCACAGAAGCTCCTGGAAGGCATCTCAGGGACTTTGGCTCCCTGAAGCGACCCAAAGCCCAGCCTAGGAGGTGCAGCAGCCCCTTTTCCAGCTCTTAAGTCACATGTCCCAGGTGACAGCCTGGGGACTTGCCACATAGGCCAGTAGGTCTGATGCTGAGAGCCCCTCTTCCACCTGAGCAGAGGGAGGTGCCTGTGTCTGCTTCCTCCGTTCCCCCTCCCCTGAGGGCAACAGGTCCCTGCCTGGGAGGGTACGCAGCCCTCTGGAAGCTGCCGCACTTGTACATTCTAGAGCTCTCTCCGTATCTGCGTTCCTGGCCTCTGCAAGCCAGCAGCGCGGAGTCGCTGGGGAGGGGGCTGTAGGGAGAGGAGGCTGGGGAGGCGAGGGGCGGGGAGGGCGCCGCTCCTTCCTGCCCCCCGCCCTCGTCCCTGCGGCCTGGGAAAAGGCAGCATATTGAGGCGCGGGGCTCCCAGCATCAGGCCCCGGGATGCTAATGAGGGCGAGCGCGTTCCCACAGCCCGGACATTGTGCCGCGCGGCCCACCTGCTCCTCGGGGAGCGCCCATTGTGCCCGCGCCAATTCACAGGCAATTTAGCGTGCGCTAATGGGCCGGCGCCTTTGTGCGGCCCGCGCCGTCATTGGCCGCAGAGTGTGGGAACGACCGCGGCACCCGGGCCCCAGGCGCCAGCCCGCCGCCCGCGCCTATATAGGGGCCGGGGTCCGCGCCAGCCCGGGACGCGCCTGCTCCGCTCCCTGCCGCCTTGCCGCCTCGCCTCTCCCCGCGCCAGGCATGGCTCCCAGCACCGTGGCCGTGGAGCTGCTCAGCCCCAAAGAGAAAAACCGAGTAAGTGCGCGGCCGGCTTGGTGCGCGGTCCCCGCGGCCCCCGCGCCGGCGTGGCCCGAGCCCGGCTGACGCCCCCTCCTCCCGCCTGCAGCTACGGAAACCGGTGGTGGAGAAGATGCGCCGCGACCGCATCAACAGCAGCATCGAGCAGTTGAAGCTGCTGCTGGAGCAGGAGTTCGCGCGCCACCAGCCCAACTCCAAGCTAGAGAAGGCCGACATCCTGGAGATGGCCGTCAGTTACCTGAAACACAGCAAAGGTGAGCCGCCCTGCGTCCAGGAGTCGGGCCGCGCGACCGGCTCACCGCCGCCCCGCGCTCCCTGACCCTGTTCACCGGCGCCCCCCTCACCGCTGCCCCCCTCCCTGCGCCCCCGGCCCCGTTGCCCGCTACCCCGCTCCCCGCACCCCCCGGCCCGGCTCACCGCGGCCCCCGCTCCCTGCAGCCTTCGCCGCCGCCGCCGCCGGCCCCAAGAGCTTGCACCAGGACTACAGCGAAGGCTACTCATGGTGCCTGCAGGAGGCTGTGCAGTTCCTGACGCTGCACGCGGCCAGCGACACGCAGATGAAGCTGCTGTACCATTTCCAGCGACCCCCGGCCGCGCCCGCCGTGCCCGCTAAGGAGCCCAAGGCGCCCAGCCCTACGCCCGCGCCTGCCCCGGCCAAGGCCGCCGCTGCCGCCACTGCGCGACAGCCCGCCTGTGGCCTCTGGCGGCCTTGGTGACCGGCGAGACCCGCGGGCGGCCGCCCAGCCCCGAGGACAAGAGGGCCGGGGCGTTCCTCTGGAGGGGGAAGAGCCTTCCCATCGGCTGTGCGGCCTCAGGCTTGGATGCACCCCTTCTCCGGAAGGCTCTCTCTCCAGGCTGGCCGGCCAGCAGGAGAGTCATTCTCAGAGAATGTGTGCAGAGTCCTTGTCATTTAGGACAGTCAGGGCCCGTCTTCTGCCAAATGTCTGACCCTATGGGGTTGCTCTATGTTTGCATTTCCGCAAGTGACTTCTGGGAAGTCCCCACTGCTGGGGTTCTATGATATTTGTAGATGGCGGGGCGCGGCCAGCCGGCGCCCCGTGCTGTGCGTAGAGGGCTTTCTCAGATCCGGTGCTGCCGGGCCGCATTTGCCTTTTGTGAAGGCGGAACTCAAGGTGTATCCTCATAGGAAGGAAAGCGTCAGCCAGGATGGGCGTGGGGCTGGGCAGAGCCAGGCCGAAAGGCCCTACATCTGCTTGGTTGTCTGGTCGGGGCTCACAGTGGGCTGTGTGGGGCGGGTGGGGGTCTCCGCCGTGATCCTTAAAGGATTTCCGTGTGGGTGGGTGCACGTGGGCACAACTTTGTACTCAGAATTTGTACTCTTGGTCATGTGGGAACCACAGGACTGCTCTGCAGACTGATAATAAAATCCGACTGTTCAGCCCCCTCGCGATCTGTCTCTGTGCCTCACACATGTCCTTGGCGGCCACCAGGCAGGCAGGTCGGCAGGGATGAAGGGGAGTAGGCACTATTGTGATATATGCAGCCACAGGTGGGCGCTGTCCTTGCCAATGACCCTGGACACCCGAAGAAGGGCTGGGCTCCGGCTGAGGAGGGAGGGAGGAGGGGAAGCAGAGGAGAAGCAGGGGTGCTGGGAAGCAGAGTTGACCATCACGGAGGGAAGAGAAGCTGGGAATGAGGAGTGAGGGGACAAGTAGGTGGGGTAGGAAATGACTGAGAGACAGGGAAACAAGGGAGAGGCAGGCTGGAGGGGAGAGGGTCTCTGAACACCTTGTGTCCCCTTGTGCAGTAAGGGGGGTGTTGGGGGGGGGCTGCAGGACCTCTCACTAGCTCCCTGCAGGTGGGGGTGGAGTGCTAAGAGGGACCCCACGGCCTGCAGCAATCTCGCTACAGTCAAAGGGGTTTAGTTGTGCCAAACACGAGAGACGTTCCCCTCCACGGTCCTCCCCTCACACCTGGAGCCCCTGTGTCCTGGGACCAGCCCCTGGGGCACCTTCCTGGCCAGCCCAGAGGTGGCCGGCCTGCCTCCCTGCAGGTGGACTGCTCACCAGGGCTGAGACAGGCAGTGCTGGCAACAGGCAGGCCAGCCCTCGACTCAGAAAGGGCAGCTGTCTATTTTTAGGCAGGCACGGGGTGTTGGTTGAAACTGCAAGAGACCCAGAACCACCCAGGCCGGGGCTCCCTCCTTCCTCTTCAGCACCTCTCTTGGCCCCGCCTTCCAACCCTTTCTGTCCACCCTGGAGGGGTGGTCCACAGCACCCCTTCCGGAGGAGCAGTTCTGCTCTGCCCTCATGTGCCTGCTGAGCCCTGGGAGCAGCCCCTCCCACACCCACACGTTTATTGTTTGTGTGGCAGATACATGGTTGATCTGTCCCTGTGGGTGTGTCTCCTGGCCAGGCCAGCGGGCAAGGCTGCCTCACTCTCCTGAAGCCCTGCCTGAATCATCCTGGAACTGAGTCTGTGCTGCTCACAGGTCTATGTTCCAGTGGGCCTTGCCAGGCAGCCAGTGGCATGCTCAGAAAGAGGCTGAGGTCAAAACCCAAAGTAACTGGCTCAGGAGTTTGGCACCTAGGAGGCAGGTGCCAAAGACACCTGGCACACTGCCTCCAACACTGGGCTCTTTCGCAAAGCTCCCACTGCCTTTACAGGGTACACTCCCCTTAAGAGTCTCCAAGCCTCCCAGGGCCCTGAAGTCTGTCCCCAACACCATCTGGGAGCTTCCTCAGCTTGTTCCCTGCAAACTCCCACAGACTCCATCTTTCAGGAGGAATATGCTTTCCCCTGCACACTGAGGATCTCTCCATTAAAGCACACTTCTTGCGCAGCTGCAAGGGTATCTCCCACCCCGGTGGGGTGGGGGAGGGGCTCCTAGAGAGCAAGGTACCCAACTCCCCCCGTTTGCATGGGATTTTTGGCAGCGACGGGCCTGTGCTCCTAGGGAACCAGTCTGGTGAGGTCACAAGCGCCTTCGCGTGCAAGAGTTGGTCTCTCTGGTGGTCTGCACGTTCCAGGTGCCCTCTTTGCACTAGCTCATATCACACGAGGTCAGCAGCCGGCTAGCTCAGCGAAAGAACAGAGACGACGACAGCCCAGAGGTTTTGTGTTCAGTTGCCTCGCTGGCCTCAAGAGTCTCTTAAGACCCGCGCCCGCCGGCCTGTGTCCGCCCTCCAGCCTTCACAGCGGCAGCGGCGGGAGGGGCGGGGCCGGCGCGGGAGCTAATTAGCATAATATATGCGCGGGAGGCGTTTAGCAGTCAAATATATGCGCATATATCTCCATGGCTGATGAGGCTGGCCGGGCACTTTCAAAATGGCGGAGTGTGGAGCGAGCGGCAGCGGGAGCAGCGGGGACAGCCTGGACAAGAGCATCACGCTGCCCCCCGACGAGATCTTCCGCAACCTGGAGAACGCCAAGCGCTTCGCCATAGACATAGGTCGCCGCGGGCTGGCACAGGGAGCGGGGCGGCAGGGGCAGGCGTAGGCGCCGGCGGCGGGGCCGGCGGGCCGGGGTGGCGGCAAGGACGAAGGGAGGGGCGCGGGCCGCTGGTGCCGCACGGCCTGTCGGGCCTTGTGGTCTGCGGCGGCCGGCGTGTACCGCCTGTAGGTCCTTGTAGTCTGTGGGCTACCAGCGCGCGCGCGCTTGCCGCGGCGACCGGACTGCAGCTCCCAGCAGGCGCCGCGTGGCCGGAGCAAGGCATGCCGGGGCTCGCAGTCCTGAGGGAGAAGCCGCCGGGCGGCCGATCTGGCACCCGCCTCGGGGCGGGGGTGGGGTGGGGTTCGGGCGCCGCGCGAGACGTCTCCCCGCCGGCGGGAGATCGGGGGCCCAGTATCTGGGACCAGGGTTTTGGAGGACCCGCCCCCCACGGGGGCCCTCCTCCCTCCCCGACGCGCTGACGCCTGCCGGCGACAGATTTCTCAGATGTGGTCGCTGAGGCGCGGAGACCCGGCTGGTCAGTGACCAGTGCGGGCTGCAGCCTGAGCGCCCGGGACTCCCACGCGCCTGGCCAGGCCTGGCCGCTCAGTAAACGCTGGGACTGACCGTGCGATTCTCCCTGGAAGGGTTGGGCGGGCCGCCCCCCCCTCCCGGTCTTTGGGAGTCCCTGGAATCAGGGACATGGGTGGGGGGCATCCAGGGAAATGGGGAGCGCCTTGAGTCCCAACCTGCAAAGCGCGAGGCCGGGCGGAGCCTGGCAGAGGGCGGGCATGGGCAGCTCTGTGAGCCGGAGCTCGTCCTCCTTGGGGGAGACTCACCAGAATGGTGCCCTGCTGGACTTTGGGCTGGAAGCCGGTGAGCGGAGGCCCAGCCTGGGAGCTCGAGTGAGCCCTACCGCTGTCCTCTGAGCCCTGCTCACTCCGGAGGTGACCCCGATCCACTGGTCCTGTTCTCTGAGCTTCTAGACTTGGTACTGCTGCCCCAGCTCTGGGAGTTCTGCTCCAGCCAGTCCGCACCTAACGTTTTTGAAGTGCTCCCCAAAAGTTCCTGGCCACAAGTCTTACTTCGGTTGTTTGGTGTGGCCCCAGCTTGTCTCTGCAAAGGGAGGAGTGTCTGCCTGTCCTCCCTAATCAAGGTTCCTTGGCAGACCCAAACGGATGTTTCCAGTGTTTGTATTTATTTCCTCTGAAATCCGCCACCGCGCCGCCTCCTCCCGCGCCCCGCCCCCCCCGACCCTCGCCCCTGCCACCTTGGTCTGGGTCCTCTGTCTCTGGTAAGCACACGTTCATTGCTAGTAAAGACTGACTTTTGCTAGTGCAGCTAGCTGGTGAAGGACCACTTGGGGCAGTGGTCCTCACCCAGGAATCCGCAAAGCCACTGTGCTTGTCAGTGTTCGGTTTAAGAGCAGGCTCCCCCTTTTGTCTCCCCTCCCCTAGCCTCTCCGTCCAGGAGGGCTCAGCTGCAGGGTCCTCGGAGAGCCCCTTCCTCTATGGTGGGGCACCCCTGTCTGCTGGTGGAGTCCCTGCTTAGAAAGCCTCAGGGAGGCTTTGTATCAACACATACTTGAAGCTGATTTGACTCCAGGCTTTTTTTCTTTTTTTAGTTTTGGCTGGGCTCAGCCTGTGTTGCTGCACGGGCTTTCTCTAGTTGTAGGCTTCTCACTGTGGTGACTTTCCTTGTTGCAGAGCATGGGCTCCGGGGTGCCCAGGCTTCACTAGTTAGTTGCAGCTCACTGCAGAGGGCCGGCTCAGTCATGGTGGCTCACGGGCTGAGTTGCTTCTCGGCACGTGGGGTCTTCCCAGACCAGGGACCGAACCTGTGTCTCCTAGACGTGGATTCTTATCCACTGTGCCACCAGGGAAGCTCTGACTCCAGGTTTCTACTGGGCGGAGGGAGGGTTCCTTGGGTGAAGTGGAAGGGGCCCCAGGGCGGGAATGTGCGCAGTAATGTCCTGCACCTCTGGGTGCCTAGAGAGGAGGGACTGCCGCACACCAGGCCCCCAGGGATCTGGATAAACAGCTCTTGGCTCAAGTTCCTCCCATTGGTCGGGGATGCCGTGGCCCCCAGGGTGGGAGCAGGGGGGCGGGAGGCCTGGAGAGCCCATGGTGTCTACCAGAGAGCACAGTGCTGTGTGGGTGCAGCTGGTCACTGCCCTTGTCTGGTGTGGCGTGTGGAGCCGGGGGGAGGACAGGTTGACATGCACTCTAATCCCAGGGGACCTGAGAGCAGACGGGATTTCCTGGTGCCCGCAGGCTCCTGCATGCTGCCCTGTGAGCACATCTGGGCTCAGACAGAGCAAAGGCTGCAGCCATACCGCTGACTCCTGCTGCTGCTCTCAGGAGGGCTGGGTGACAAGTCTGGGCAGGGCCAGGCTTCTCCCACTTGGTGCACATGATGTGCAGTGCACAGCACCCAACTTACTGCCCCGCCACCCAGGGCCCCCCACAAACCATCGCAGTCATGGTTGTGATTTGTAGCTGACCCAGAGAACATACCATCTGCAGTTGGATTGCTGTGACCAGAGAGTTTGTTGATAGTAACTTCTGATGAGCTTCTCAAATAGGTCTTCATCCCTTTGCATTTGCCGGTATGTGTGTGTGTGTTTTTGGCCATGCCACGTGTCATGTGGGATCTTAGTTCCCCAATCAGGGATCGACTGAACCCGGGGGAGCAGTCTTAACCACTGGACCTCCAGGCAGGTCCTGTGTTGCCTCTTCTTAGGAAAGGATTTGTTCACAGAGGTGAATCCGGCAACAGGCATTTCAGTGAAAGGTGCTGCGGGCCAAGCTGGGATTGAGGGCAGGGAGGAGGGATAAGGAGGCTTAAAGCCAAGTTCTGTGTCTTAAGCTCATGGTCTCGGGATGGGAGCAAGCCCAGGACAGTGGATTCAGTCACCAGACGTGGGCCCCTCTGTGCCTGATGAGGCTGGCTCACAGGATGTCTCTGGAGGCCCTGTCCACACTGCCAT